GTAGTGGAGGTGGATCAGCTGGGGTTCAGGTTTATGAAAGTGGCAGTTCACTTTTCTCTTAGCATTGCTTCTGTACTCCTGGCCTTTCTCCAGCTCTTGGACAATATGGTTTTCTTTAGCGAACACTGAAAAGTGCCACGAGGAATTTCATTACTGGCTGGAGTGGTTTAAAAAGCTTGCTGCTGCTTTAAGAAGCCAGATTTACATATTTCATGTTTAAAAGATTTACAATGTGTCTCACATGCCTGTATGGGAAGATGGAGCTTTCATTATAGGTTTAATGTCACCGTGATACAAGGATTAATACTCTTTCCTCCGCCTCGGTGTGCGCGGCTGGTCGCAAGTGCCTGGTGTGTTCCTGGTTGACTAAGCTGTAGGGGCGTTTTCGTATTCAAGGAGATGCATTTTTGAATAATTAAAGCAAGCTTTTGCGTTGCTCCGTGGAGAAATCCACAGACAGCAATCCTAGAGAAAGATCAAGGACCGGAGCATCTTTCCAGGCTTCTGGTTATTTTCTGTCGTGCACTGGGGGAGGAGGGGGAGGTTTGTTCACTTCAATTCCAAAGGTTAAGCGCTTTGTATCGAAAAGCCCAACCACAGGAAGGCTCCACGGGCCAAATTCTGCCCTCAGTAGCTGTGCTGTGGCCTCAGCACGCTCGCTGCAGAAGGCTATTGCATGCTCTGATAGACAGGGATATTTCACCCTTAGGAAATGTCTCCTCACCGGCGTGTGCTGCAGAACACGAGCTGATGGAAGATGCATCTCAGTGCTACGCGGTAATTAGGCACTTGGGGATGTGCTGTGACATGTTGGGCAAATGTTTGTGGCAAGGTCCCGCTGCAGCACAGGTGGGGATTTCTAATGGCCCATTGAACGCCGCACACGTGTTTCCTCAGTGCTGAGGCACGGCTCTGTCTCCACCAGTTTCACAAAGCGAGGGGGTGGCTGGGGGCAGGATCCGCAGCAGAGCGACCCGAGCTGCGTCACTGGGTGCTGGAGGATGGAGAGCTAAAGGAGGGGGCTGTCAGAACAAAAGGTGATGAACTACTGGCCAAAACTGGTCCCTCCTGCTGGTGTATACCTTTCTGGTGTCAAGGTCTGTGGAGTTCTTTGACCAAATGGACACAGCTTGTTTCACACTTCACTTGCCAGGGGTTGGGGAGCACCGTCCCAGCTCCAACAAGGTGCAGGACTGGGACCTTTCCTGGTTGCACACGATGGCATTTTCCTCCTGTAGCTTTGCCTTTTGCCAGTGGTTTGTTTTACCTTCGGGTATGTGATGAGCTGAGGTGGGGGGGAAGGCTGTTTCTGAGATTTTTAAACTTCTTATTTTAAGATGGCATGGGATTACTGGCTGGCAATGTGTACGAAGCTGCCCTGTCAGCTAAGATTTCCTCATCGATAACTTGCTGTTATGTTTGTTTCTTAAGAAATAAAGTCTTCAACACTATGTTAAATGTTAACTGAAATTTAGCACTCTGAGGACGCTGAAGTAATAATTTGTGCTAAATTTGTAGATGGATATAGATAGGTACGTGTGCGTGGGCAGTATGCTCCCAGTATATTTACACACACACAAACTGTGGATTTAAATGACTGACTTATGTAAGTAATTTTAAAAATTACTATGGAAAGAAAATATTCATCTTACATACGTTTACGTTGATGTGATAGTGCTCCTAGTTAAAAGGAAGCTGTGTTTTTCTGCAAAGACTTGCTTTTACAGCGTTTGTTGTGTTAAGCCCTTTCTTTCACCAAGCCAGTGAAAAGTTTCATTAATGTAAGCAGGATCAGAGCTCACTGGGTGTGCTTATTGCTGAATTAATAAATATCTGGGAAAATAAATAGTTATTATTCAAGCCGTACAATTGCCTTACACACCAGAAGATGAGATTTAGCAGAAATAAAGTGGATGTTTGCCCCACATCCCAGCAGCGTTCAAACTCGCTGTTTTGACTGCGTGATTTCATATCTGTGCTTGGCTGCAAGATGAAAAGGGTTTTCATTTCAATACTGAAGTCAATAATTATGGAGGTTATCATTTTCATGCTCAGAAATTCATGTCATTTTCATAAATCATTCATTTCATTTCATAAATCATGCTTTACAGCTGCAGAATGGAAACTTATTGGTGGACATTGATGAAAATCTTGTTTCAGTCACTCAGGTAAGGTTGTGACTCTAAAAATGTTTTAAGGAAATATAGATTAAGTCATCTGTAGGAATAGTATGATTTTAAAATGTTCATCTTGGGATTAACCTCACTGAAACGTAGCTAATATCAGATGTGAATAATTTAATAAAAAGTAATGGGTGCAATCAGTTCTGTAGCGGCAGTGAAATCACAAAAACAAAAGATAAATATTTGGTGTCCAGAATCTCATATGCATAAGTGGATAAAACCGTGTCTATGTCAGAGGAGATGCATTCATTTATTCAGGCTGAGAATTGGGTTGTAGAAACAGCTGAGATACAGAATCCAGATGTGAACCATTTGGACTTTAAAATCCCACCTCCAAGTGTTGCTGTTTAAATCTGTCTCTAGAAAGTAAATGAGGAAGCTGTGTCCCCACTAGATTTCTGTTTACGTTCTCTGATGTAGTTCTGTAGCTTGCATATAAGGCTGCTATTCTGTAAGAAATAATTGTAAATATATTCTCAGTTCTTGGGGAATATTGTGAATGAGGGTTTATAACAACAAATAGCAAAGTCATCTTTCCTATCACTCTCTCCAGCTGCCTGTTTAGAAATCCATCTGTACAGTTTCTTTTAAGAGCTTCCACAGAATTATATCCGTGAAGAGTTTCCAAAGGTCCATCACCTTCAAGCACTCTGAAAAGTATTATTATTATTCCCATTTTACAGAGGCATTGAGACATAGAGATCTGAGTTGCCACCTTTCAAATACATACCATATAATCCTGAGTTCAAAAGAATACTCACTATCAATTTGCAGTATTGATATGAAACGTATCCTATTTTTACCACAAAAAACATGTAACTTTATGGGCATTTCCTCTTGGTCTGTGTAACCATGTGAGCCCTGCCCTTTCGCATCCTCTCTGCCTTGGCCTCCTTCCTCATCTGGGATGGAAGCACTGGGGGAGCCTTTGCTCATAGCCTCCTCAAAAGGACACCAGCTATTTCTTAGCAAGCCAGAGAGGAGAAAATAGTGAAAAGCTCACTTAGTCATGCAGGAAAAGGGCAGATTTAGGGGTGGTGCTGAACAAGCACTTTGGAGAGATGAGAAGAAAGTGGCTCTTTTGGTGATTCAGTGTCACCTGGCATCTCTTGAGTCAGTGGTGCCTACAGGAGGCTTGAAGTGATTTCCAAATGAGTGCTGCTGTTGTCATTATTCCAGCTTTTCTGGGCATTTTAACAGTGCTTGCCCAGTGTGTTTGCACACACTGCACAAGTGACTTCAAGGTTTGTTGTTTTTCTTTGAGGAAGGTACTTCTAGCAGTATGGTAGTTCTGTACACTAGAATTGATGTACCCTGAAGAAAACATGGATTTTATTCTTTCTTCTTTTTTCCATTTCCACACAGATACTTAGAGGGATATATAAGCCTGTAAGAAGAAAATATATTGTCATATCACTAAAGCAATGTGATCTATTTAATATAAGGCATGACATAAGGAAATGCAAAATAACTCATCCCTAGGTACATCTTTAGACACAGGGCTAAGAATCATCCAAACTGCTAGACAAATTCCAGGTCTAAGTGGTTGCTTTTGTAAATGGGAATAGTGATTGGATTCCCAAATATGTACAAACCATTGATTTTTTTTATGTCTTGAATGATAGTTTTATTTCTTAAAGGATCATCTATATCAGAAGTTTAGGGGGAAAAAATATTAGGGCAATCTTATTCCTCTGTCAGGGTGTAAAGACTGGCCAGCCAGCGTGGGTCATGTCCAAAGCACTATGTGTGCAGGTCAAGGCTTAACTGAATTTCAAGCCTATGTATGTGATAGAAGGCTGCAAAGTTTATATGCCTAAGCTGGAGAGGAGATTCAATGAACTGAATTAATATTTGCATTAAATCTCATTCATACCAAGAATTCTCCCTTCCCACGTGTGTGAGTGTGATTCAGTATGATACAGGGAAGAAGGAAAGCCAGGGAGCAGCTGGGTTCCCACCACAGCTTTCCAGAATAGCCACCCTGTAAGGGTGGTAGAAGGGTTTTAGGTTTCCGGCAGAGCTATAAGGAATCTGTGCTTTATCGTCTCTGGACGTCAGCTGAACTGATTTGCAGATGGGTGGAAGAGAGTCCTTTTGCCCCAGAAGGAGCTTTGATTATGCAGCCACTCAAGGTGCTCCTTATTATGAAAGTGCTTTTTCTCTTCTGGTCCAGTTGAGTGAGACCTGTATGGGTGACCTATTTTGAGATCAATCTGAAGGATGCCCTGAGAAAACATTTCTAGCATGAGTTAAATGTAGAGCTACAAACTTACAATAACCCGGTTGTGCATCCTCCTTCAAGTCCGCTTATCCAGGTCACACCTGTCCCAGGGGCAAGGGGAAATCAGGCAACATTTTAAAAGCCCTTCCCTTCTGTATCCTCCTGTCACCTCCACAGTCTGCTGCTGTGTTTTAAGACCTTGAAACGAGGGTTTAGAAAAGGAGCCAGGGAAAAGGACTGCCTATAAATCATGCTTGGTGCTTACTGATGTTAAGGGCAGAGCAGTAATCCATCCAGCCCTATTCTGGATAGTTTTTTCACACTGTATTCATTTCTTTATGCTGGAGAGTTCCCCACAGAACCATTTTATAGTGTTAGCTGCTGCCTGTTTGGGTCCATCAGCAATACCAAAAAGCCACAGGTTGAACCCATAGGCTTCCTCATATGGGGCTGCGCATTTGAAGCCTACATGGCTTTTCAGGGGGGGATTATATTGCTAGCAGTTACTGGTTAACTTTACAAGTTGTAGCTAGTTAACTCATACTTTCTTATCCTCAAAAGATAAATGGATTTCTCTTTTTTTCTCTTTACAGGCTGTTACCCAACTAGAGCTTTTTGGGGACATGTCCACTCCTCCTGATGTAACCTCTCCCCCAGTGAGTATGCAGGGAGACTGAACTGTGTCTTTTTCTACATGCTATTTTCAGCACATTTATTGGGCGCATTTACAATTCAGGTCATCAACCATTCCAGTAGGAAGGATTTCAAAGTAGTTTTTATGTTGCGAGAAAATAAAAGTGAAGCAAATTGAAAGTGGAGTCACTGCTTCACGATGATGTGCAAAAAATGTCTCCCATTTTTATTTATCTGATATAGGGCTAGGTGTCACGTAAGATATAACCTGAGCTGCAGCTCTCCTTCCCTGGTGTTTATCAGAGGTGCATGCTTCACTGCACTCAGTCTCTCCACTGCACTGCAGGAAGATCCCAGTTACAGCCTTATATATCATGTCTCTTTGGTTCCACCAAGCACATATCCCACAGCTGCTGTTAAAGGAAGGAAGGTAAAGCAGTAAAGAGAGAGAGGGCTGAGTGTGTTTTGAGGGCAAAGAAAATTTTCTCATGTTTTTTCTGCATCCTAAAATGAAAACAGTCATTTTCCCGTGAAGCTTTTGAACCTTACGTTACGCTGTTGGGGAGCATGAATATACCAAGGAAATTATGGTGCTGAGAAGTCAGGAACCTCAGATCTCCAAGGTGTTCTGGAGCATATCTGGGACTAGATGTTCAAAGTCTTCTCATCCTTAGCTGCTCAGGTGGATTGGGTTTCTCCTTTAATGTAGACCTATGGTTCTGGTCCTGTTTTTAACTGGAAGCAATATGCGTTCACTGTTTCATAAATCCTGACGATACTTCATCTACCTTTACTGGTTCGTAATGTTAATGCCTTGGTCTCTGCCTCTACTGTGTGTCACCTAACACCTAGAATCACGAGTCTGCATGTTCTGGAGAAAGAAATGATGTCAATATTCTGCGTGTGATGTATTCCTGGCAAATTTTCTTTTTACTTTTTCCTCCGGTACAAAGTCTCACATTTTCTTTCCTTTTCTCCTGTCTCCACCAGATTCTAATACTCTTATTTCTATTGCTTCTTTCCTTCTACATGTCCGTTCTTTTTTCTTTCTTTCTTCCCCCCAAACCTGTGTTTTTAGAGTTACAGATGGTGTGACAGCAAAGTACGTGCTGCAGAAGCCGCAGCTGAAACATCATGATTGTATTTTATTCCTGTGTTCTTGCAGACTCCTGCTACTCCAGGTGATGCCTTTATCCCATCTTCATCTCAGTCACTTCCTGCTAGTACAGACATGTTTGGTTCTGTACCGTTCAGCACTGCTGCCGTACCCTCAGGTAAGAAATCTGGGAAAGCACGAGCTTGACTCAAATTTGATGATGAGTTCTTGGCTCCTGTTTGCATTTCAGTGCTCAGGACGTTAATTTAGTCCAGTGGAAGTGAGAAGGATTTTGAGGACACTGCTGCAGGGCAAGGCAAAGCAAGTCTTTAACAAGCAGAGAGTACATAATTTTGAATTTAATCACATTTTTTGAAACAAAAGCCAAAGAAGTCACTGAGAGTTCAACCATAGTTCAGCCATCTGGATAACATACCTTCTAGGTGCAGCAGCAAGAGAGACAAAAGCGGTTAGCTTTGGTTTTGTTGTGGTAGCAATGAATATCCTGTGCTGTCCTCAGTACACAGAGAGCGAGACATGGAGAATTTGATTGCATTTCAAAGGTATTCCACTTAGTCTTATCCTCATATTTCCTTCAGACTTTTCTGTGTCCCTCAAAGTCCTCAAAACTCAAAAGCAATCTTCACAGGCACGCGAGGTGTGTGGTTTTGACTGCTGATCTCTCCCCGGGATATCCGGAGTGCTGCTCTCAGCTCCACTTAGGAAAAAAGAAAGGAGGAGGAGGAGGAGTGCCTTCAGTCTTTCAGCAGTGACTTTCTAATTGGTTTCCTCCCTCTCTGATGGGCTGCCTTGCGGCATCAGATCAGCCACTGCATCTCGGAAAGGTGATGCTGATGGTGAAGTGTTTGGGGATAACGTCAGATGAAAACTCCCACTGCTTGGATGAGGTTACAGTGCGGGCAGGGTGAAAGGACATCTGGAGAATCCATCATAGGCATCTCTTGAAATAGATGTGTGTCTCAGTTACTGTTTCTTTTATCGCTCATTAATTTAGTATTTCAACTTTTATTTTTATTTTGGGCTTCTCCCGTGATGATTTTGCTACCACCCTTACATTTAGCATTACAAAACAGCCTAGAAATAAAGTGAAGAGGGAAAGGTACAGGAGAGCTCAAAACCACACCCAAGTTAGAGACAGGAGTTTTAAAGCTATGACAGTATTAAAAGTAAGAGAGAGGTTGCATACTGTAAAGTACTAGCTGCAAATTATGGATTTAAATGTGAAATAGCGTATCAATAAAGCATAATTCTCCTATCAGTCAAACATAATTGTATTACGTGGTTTACTTTGTAACATTTTTTACAGTAGTTTGTTTCAGATTTTTTATTTTCATTGTAAATAACAGAGCACCTGATCATATAATTCCTTCACAGTCAGACTCCTGGTAGCTTGAAAAGAGATTTGGAATCTGACAGGACACAATTATAATTTTAGTTTTAATCTTTAATGTCCTCCACAAGTAGAGAGATTTTATGCTAGCGTAATACCTGAAGCAGTTTATTGTGATAGGGTTTGAGAATCTCAGGACCTTTGTGATGTTCTCAAGTAACTGGGTAATAACCAACTGTGGTTTTTTTTATTCTGAATTCATCTGAGCTCTGTCTTTTTATTACGCAATTTGAGACACATGCTTTACTTTTCAGTGTCCCAGTGATTTGAACTTTGACTGTGTCAGAAGAGATGGCACAGAGTCTTTCTCATGCAAGAAGGTGGCTCTGTCATTAGAGGCCCCTTTAGCCATCATCTAACATACATGAAGGTGCTTCCCTCTACCTTGGAACCGGTTTTGTAGCTGTGCCATCCCACACTTCACTGTGTTCAAGTCACTCTCCCCAACACAGAATAAAAGTAAAAGGGATGAGGAACTGCAGCAAAGCTACGCAGAGGGTAGGAAGTCCTGGGCATCCTCTTCCTTCCCTCTGGCTTCCCGTTTTTAAATTTTTTTTAGTGGTGTATGGGCTGCTCTGAAAATATGAGCTCCATCCCAGCCTGACCCAGTGCACCACGTTCAGTCCCAGAGATCCCTGCCCTGAGGGGAGCAAGACAGGCAGAGGGGAAAGGCAGAGGATGGGGAGTCAGGGTACAAGGAGAGCCTGCAGAGCTCAGTGGTGAGGAGCAGGGTTGTGCTGCAAGGAGATGAGTTTAGGGAATGTTTTGGGAGCTGCTGTGCTTCTGGTAAGTGATTTGACCAAACTGATCCTGGCTGTGCTTGGACAGAGCCTCAGGGAAAGGAGCTGCCAGTGGCCAGCTGCCAACAAGGTCCCAGCACACAGGTGCCATGGGGAGGTCTTCACAAACCCATGGGGGTACTCACTGAGAAGAACTTCTTGGTTCAGATGAGGGGAAGGATGATTGCCAATATCCACCGATTTGTGGGTTGGTGTTCAAGTATTTCTTCAGTGATGTGAATTCAGCTATGTCCTTAAGTTTTCTTTTTAAGTGTGCCCGAGCTCTGGGATCACTAATGTAGCCTGCATGTTTCTTACGCACTGCGTAGCTTTTCCTGCATGCTCTTGACAGTAACATGAAAATCTGTTTTTTTTCCCCTGCTCTCTTTATTCTCTGAAGGTTATGTTGCCATGGGAGCTGTTCTGCCCTCATTCTGGGGACAGCAACCACTTGTTCAACAGCAGTTGGCCATGGGTGCTCAGCCTCCAGTTGCTCAGGTGATGCAGGGAGGACAGCCGATAGCGTGGGGCCAACCCGGTATTTTTCCTCCTACTCAGCAACCGTGGCCATCTGTAGCTGGTCAGTTCCAACCAACTGCCTTCATGCCAACACAAACTGTTTTGCCTTTACAAGCAGCCATGTTTCAAGGTACCATTGCTCCTATAGCTACTGTTCCACCCACGAGTGATTCCAACAGATCGAGTCCACAGACAGACAGGCCCAGACAGAAAATGGGAAAAGAAATGTTTAAAGATTTCCAGATGGCTCAGCCTCCACCAGTGCCATCAAGAAAACCAGATCAGCCTTCCCTCAGTTGTACCTCAGAGGCCTTCTCAAGTTACTTTAACAAAGTTGGGATGGCACAGGAAGCAGATGATTGTGATGACTTTGACATCTCGCAGTTAAATTTGACTCCTGTGACTTCCACGACACCATCTACAAATTCACGTGAGTATTTATAGGCTTTCAGCCGTACCTTTCCTTAGATGTGACTGCTCCTCAAAGCTTATTTTTTTCTTTTTCTTTCATACACTAAATTGCAACACAGATATGGACTGAGAGCCTTAATGCATGATCTAGCTTATTAAATGTGTTCCAACCATAAAGAAAAGTATCAAAGAGGAATTTCAGAGACCATTGAAATCAACAGCCCCGATAGCTGCAGTCTGAAATTTAATTTCTAAGAAGACAGTAATTTATGTTCTGTGCTAGGGACATGCAAGCTGGTTGGAAAATGCCAGTGACATTCAACCTTACAAATGGTTTCGCTTACATCCCATTCGAGCCATACTTAGCAGAAATTAGGGCATGGGTATTTATTTTAATAGCTTGATGTATGGGACATGTGAGGAAATTCATTGAAGAGCTGTAAAATAAGCTTATCGTGTTCATAGCATGGAGATGGGGGATTTTGCAGATTGCTGAAAAGAGGAATTGATGAGACACAGATTTACCAGGGGCCAGACGGAGACCTTCATTTAGCTGCCATAGGGCAGGCGGCTCCTGCGTTCTTAACGTAATGTAGTGGCATCTCCCTGGTTCCTAAAGACATGTGCCAGATGCAGCCAAACTGAATTGGGAAACGGCTGAACGAAATCAAATATCTGGAATTGATAATGAGTTCTCTGTTCAAATTTACTTCTTACAGTCAGAAAATAATTTCCAGGGCTAATAAAAGTTGAGGGCTTTAAAGCATGAGCAGATTTTGTGCTGCCGTGTCTTTCTGAACAAATTAACAGATGTCTCTTCTGTTGCTGTTACCTTAATCTTTGTTTAGCTCCAACCCCTGCACCCAGACAGAGTTCTCCATCAAAATCATCAGCATCTCATACCAGTGATCCTGCTCCAGATGACCTCTTTGAAGAGGGGTTTGAAAGCCCAAGCAAAGGCGAGGATCAAGAGGCTGTGAGTAGCAACAAGGTTTCTAAATACTGATCAGCTCTTTCTAGCTAGAAAAGGTAGAAGTTGCTGAAATGTTTTTCGGTAGTGTCAGAAATATAACTGTTCTAATAGGACTGTGTGGTATTAAGGGGGGAGCTGCAGACAGCATTCACTTCCCAGTTCAGTTCTGATAGCTTAAAAGCATGATGTTTATGTTGATATGCACTAATATTGCATACAAGGAACCAAAGTCAGAGTTCATATGTAAAGTTATTGATGTTAATTGTATCAAATGTCCTTTTTAGCATACCAGCATTCACTTGTTGATGGTAAGGGAGTCCCAGGTAAAATAAAGTACAAGCTGAGGCTTCAAGAAAGAGATGGATGTGAGAGTTTGTGTGTTAAAATACGATGGCTGATGTTGTCTTGCACATTCTTGCATCCCAGTTGCATTCTCAGTGTTCTGGCCCTCAGTATGGGATTTCTTTGCCTTAGACTCAGTGGACCAAAGCAAGAAATGTTATCCCAAACAGTGACTTTAAATCCCAAGGTATCTTAGGCAGATAAGAGCCTAAGTGTGCCGAAGGCCAGAAGGAGTCTATACACTGAAGGGGCCCAAAGGTACAAAATAACTCAAGCTTGGACTCTTTCTGATTCACATAGGCTTTCAGGGCTTTCTGCAGTTCTGGTTTGTCTGATCCAGTACCTTCTGAAGTCTGTGGCAGCTCCTGCATGGGCTCCAGCAGGTACTGGTGAGGTCCTTTCCTATAGGAAACCGTTACAGCATTTGAGAACGTATCAGCGGTGAGGTCTCACTTCCTGGTTTTCATGAGATAGGATGTACTTGTTATGCCCACAGCATGAAAATAACCTCGTGTTGACTTTTCACTTTCTTATTGTTGAGAAAAAAAGGTGTTATGTTCTTGTATTCTAGCCTGATGGGTCTCAGGCCTCATCCAACAGTGATCCATTTGGTGAGCCAACTGGTGATACTATAAGTCCACAGGTCGGTAGCTAGATAGCGCAGGTTGGGGTAGGTATCTGTCCTTTTTTTCTCTACACCTTGAGGTGCTCACTTACGCTTCCACCAGTGCCTACCATTGCTTTCATGGATGCATGGTTTGTTTTTCCTTTTCATCTCTTCCGTTTTTCCTCTCCATTTCCCACGGTGTATTCCTCATGCTCGGTGGTTTGCATGGCTTTTGCCGTTCACTAAATGTTGCGACTTATGCAAGTGTGTGTTTGAGCTGCCTGCATGCTTTAAAGAAATGTAAACTTTTTTTACTTTGTGTTGAAATTCTGAGGGGAAATAGGGAAACTGAGCCATTACTAACAGTGTATTAGGCAGAACACTTTTTTGTTATCGAATCCACTCTGGCCCTAAGTCAGATGTAACATATTGAATGGAATAAGACATCTTACCCATAGACATAACAAACATTAAATAAAATTATGTAATGATACATGAACACCTCTACCCTAAATCAATGTGATAATCAGTAGAAGCAGCACATTTATTATCTGCATGTGAAAAGTATTGAAATGGGCTTGTGTGTTTTTATCTCCAACTGCAAATTAAAAACATCTGAAAATTATGATCATTCATATTACCGTTGGCACGGTGATGTTTTAAAAATTATTCATCAAATGTAAGTCATTGAAATCCAGACAGACGGGAAAGATGATCTTTTCATCTTTTGTGTTACAGAACATGTTAGAAAATGTGGCTGCCAGTGACTGTTCTGTGATTTGTTGCAGTACAATAGATACGTTTTACCAAAAAAAGCTACAAAGTTTTATGAGTGCTGAGCATTGTTATTCCATCCAAATACTCTCTAGTGTTATTATTTGAAGGATTTGTTTCATTATCTTCTCCCTGGCTGCCATTCCTGTTTCATGTTACCCATACAAGTGATCTGATACAGCTTCTGTGCTTCAGCACAGCGCTCCTGGAGCAAATCCATAACAGTGGTGGAAACATTTTTATTTCTGTACAGAAGTGGTGCTGTGTTTACCAGTGACTTATCCACCCTGAGCCAAAATAATTTGGTTTCAACTCAATAGTTTCATTAGGATTCAGTTTACATCGGTACATTAAATATGATTTAAAGAGTCTTACAGTGACTTAGCTTTGATCCACTTGGGACTAATAAGATTATGTCTTAATAATATGCGGTGCTGTGAGAAGGCATCTCCCCCTTAGCTTCCCCAACATAATGCTCAGCTCTTGGGGTCTAAAGCAAAAGTAGCACTAAGCTTTGTGTCTCATTGAGTCTAAAAATGCCAGTGTAAGGATGCAGTCGAGCTGGGATGAGCTGCTCTAGCAGGAGCATCCAGTGGTTACTGTGTCTTCTGCAGATGGCTATAGGTAGGTAAATGTGACATTTTGTGGATAAGTTACATTTTTTGTCCCTTTATGGTTGGAGATAAGAAGCAGACAGGCCTAACTTTCACAGGTGAAATAAAATCAACCCTCTGCAGAGCTGTTCAGAGCAAGATCCGTACTGCAGCGAGAGCTGCTTCTGTGAATGGGTGGTGCCATACAGCAATTGGGCTTTGCCTTTGCCTGACCTCAACCAGCATGGACGCAGGCAGCTTTCCCAGCTTCAGACCATTTCAGGAGTTCTTTCCTAGACTGGGAAAGTGAATTTAACCTTTATCCAAGTCCCACACTCTGCAAACCCATGTGTATTTGTTTATTACGGTTTATTATAGTCAAGGTTACTCTGAAATTCATCACAGGGAGAATTATGCTAAAAATCTCTTTCTAATTTTCTGAGTGTCACAAAGATAGTTAACATCATTTGTAAACTAGCATAACACACATTGACCTACTAAGAGTTCTGGATATAACTTGAAAGAGTAGTTTAAGTCTGTTAATGCACATTACTGTGTAAGGCAATCAAGTGAGGAGCTCCTTTTGTTCTGCTTTTATATAATGCTTAGGCAAATACATTCTTTTGCCTGTTAAAGGTCTCTGGGAGCTACAAGAGCAGTATATTACCAGCGTTTCCGTATGTTTTTTCTGTATTTTTTATTAATCCTTATACAGCCTTGCATAAAATGTGTATAATTCTCAGAAATACATTCTGGGAAATGTTAAATAATGGTACTGATTATTGTATTATAGTAATTCCTAAAAGCTGTAGGCAGGAACAGGAAGCTGAACAAAAAGCCAGCCGCTACCCAGTGAAGTTACACTGATATCATTGTGCCCCTGTGCAGTGCCATTCAGCAGTGGTCTGTAGGAAATCCACTTGCTAAAACCAGCCCATCTAATTCTGAAGCCGGGTATCATCAGAGCAACGGAGTCTAATCTCCATGGAAAATTATCAATTCAGGACTTACTACTGTGTTGTATATTGAGCTCCACATTTGCACTGAAACTTAATGGGGAGAAACACGTAGTACAAAAGAATCACAGACTGCATAAAAGCCACTTTGGTGTGTTAGATGGAGATTACTTCTCTCTTTAGAACATGGTTCTTCACACCAAGAACGGTGCAGTGTACAGCTCAGATGAATGGACCTCTCGGAAGCATGTCATTGTATTGTGCTCAGATATTTCAAATCTATCTGTTCCCAGCATCTCTGTGAAATCAGCTATGCCCATGCAATATCTTACTTATCTTGATGTATTCAGAATGCTCACCTGCCTGGTATTTTGTACCTTGCTCTTTCAAGGTAACTTGGCAATTTGTTTTCTTGATTCCTTCTGATACTCCATCTTCCCATTTAGAAATAAATGAGCATTGTTCAGTTACTATCTTCATTTCTGCATTTTTCCTCTCTTCCTTTTGCAATCTTCAATTTAATCTCTCAAATTCCTCATCCTACCAGTGCCCGTTCTTATAAGTCGCTTTTCAACAAGTTGCTATGGACAGGTAAAAGTGACATTTTGTGGACGAGTTACATTTTTGTCCCTTTATGGTTGAAGACAAGAAGTAGACAGGCCTAACTTTCTCAGGTGAAATAAAATCAACTCTTTGCAGACCTGTTCATAGGAAGATTTGTATTTGGTTGTTTTCCCTTTGTTCACAAGCAATGTTGAGGATGGATTGTGATTTTCCAGAAGGGCTGAGGAGAATGCTGAATAATAAGACTGCCATCTTCAGCTGACTTGTCTTTAATCCCTGCTGCTGTCTTTAGAGGTTGTCTTGGGTATAACTATGGCGAAAGGAGAGAGACAGAAAGAACATTTAGCTATGATTCTACCGGATAAGTTCAATAGTCCTTATTATTGACATTTTGGATTAAAGCAAGAAGTATGAACAGAAGAAATTTCACCTGGTCTCACCAGTGCACCCAGTCAGCCTGAACCTACAGGGTGTGAGGTACAGACCCTGCTGGTGTGGATATTCCTGTTCTTGGGAATGTTTCAGCTGCAGTCCCTAACTCTGCTTTGGCAATGGGTCTGGCATGCCGTGATCCCAGGAAGCCCTGAAGCTGCATGATTGAAAGCCTAGCAAAGGCTATAGGAAGGGGAGCCTTTGAGCATGATGAGAAGATAGAAGAAGAGGAGCAAACTTTGACTCTCTGATGTTAGGCTTCTTCATATACCTGTGGTTATGTTCTCCAGCATCTCCTAACAAAATATCCTGACTGTGGAAAGAATAAATTCAGCCTGAATACAGGAATTGGATATCACAAATATGGTCTGACTCTGTGTGGATGACACAGACTGGGTCTTGAAGGCGAATTAACAACAGAGTGAAACTTCTGAAAGAGAATAAGGGAATATTTGATACCACAATTATTGCAATAGAAGTAATTTTAAGTGCTGGAACAACAGCAGCTCTATTGATATGCTGCCCAGTTCAAGACTTGCACTGGCAGCCTTTCATAAGAGATTCTCGGGAAGCCTTCAAAACATTTGTGGCTAGAACATATCTTCCTCAAAAACTTGTTTAGTTGTTCTGTGAAATGTGTGCAGACAATTATAAGCTCTCAAAATGTGTCATACCCTTCACGATGCTATCAGCACTGTCAGGAGAGCAACAGTTCATTAGAATATTTGTCTATCAGCTTTTGGTGGTACTTTGGTGGCCCGCTGCCATCATCCATCTTTGAGCGAGTGCCGTTCTTCGTGATGAATGTTCCTAATAGCCTTAGTCAGGTCCAGGATGGACTACTCTAACTCTTTATTTGGGCTGTTATGAGGAAGTTGAAAGAATATAGCAACTTCTGGACAAAGCATTGGCTTATCTGGGAGTTTGGTGAGTCTCAGGAGGGCACATGAAGCTGATTGTGCAACCTGCTCTTCCTTTCTGCCTGCTTTCTATTGCACTATCACTCTGAATGGGCTCATGGGCATCGAAGGCTGTATTTGCAGCATCTGTTATTATCACTCATCCCGCTCAATACAGATCAGAGTCCAAAGAGAAATTCATAATGATTACAGGGGACCTGTTCATGCCCTAGGCTCTGGAGCTATCATTCTCAAACTAAAGACACAGCACTGAGCAGCGTTGTGACCCTGAGAGAGAAGTGGTAGAGTATTGTGCATTTGGAAAGAGATTACAGTTTTGGAAGTACTGCTTTATTCCAGAGTCCTACAATAGTCATTTCGGGCCCCATGCTTCTTTATTCATCCGCATACTTCCCAGAGAATCTGAAGGGACAAGACTGGAGAAATTCAGGCTGCTCTGTGAACAGAGGCATCCTGCAGATTTGTCTTCTACACAGCTGCTAAAACCCCCTTCGGGCTATCCATTTTAATACGACCAGCTCATACACAGGTTTCTCACCTCTTCCAGTGTCTCCAAGTCCACCTGAAGTAGCCAAGTACCCTTCAACTTCTCCAACTCCTTCCTCTGAACAAGAGACAACGTGCTATAGCTTAGCATACACAGCTTGCTGTACTTGCTGACTGGCAATCCAGCAATTCGATTAGGAGATGAGCTCTCCCAGCTTTCTCTCTAATGAGGTCATTTAAAAGTTCCCTGTCTTCTGCACAGCAACTGATTTTTTAAAAGGCATTTGCAATATTTTAGTATCTTTGAGACTTCTGAACAATTT